TCTTGCTCAGGCTGGTTTTGAACTCCTGAGCTCAAACAATCCGCCCGCCTCGGCCTCCCAGAGTGCTAGGATTACAGGCGTGAGCCACTGCGTGAGGCTTATATTTAATATATGTTAGTGTGGGGGTAATATAGTCATTACTTAATGACAGTGGTTCTCAACTCTTCAGTCTCACGACCCCCCCTAAACTCTGAAAATTTGTTGAGGACTCCAAAGAACTCTTGCTTATGTGGGTTATATCAATATTTACCATGTTAGAAATTGAAACTGAGAAAGTTTTATAATATTTACTCATTCCTCAAATGACAATAATAAACCCATTACATGTTTAGCCCTCTCTTAACTATGCTCTTACTTATTTATTTAGAGTTTTCACTTCCTACTAACCACAAATAAGCATATGAAGTCCTGACCTGCCTTGTGGAAAATGTTTTCTCTCAAGGATGAGAAATCAATAAATGAAATGAGAATTCTGGACTTATTTCTTATCAACATGAAAAAGGCAATGGGGGTTGCATTTTTTGACCTTTCCTGTTAAAATATTAGTTTTCTTGATATGGAAGTTGGATTGTTCTCTTTTTCTGTTCTCCACCAGTTGATTAATCAGTAGGCTTAATACTTCCTTTTTCTTTATACTCAGAATGCCACTTTAAAATATCCTTTTGGTTGGTCTTATGGTTTTTCTTGGTATAGGCAGCTTTAGAGGTTCCTGCTGCTAATTTGTTTCCATTCCTATCTGTGTGTTCCTCTCTCTCTGCTGTGTGTATATGTATATGTACACTTTTTTCTGAGCAATCTCTCTTTCTCTTTAGTCACATTGATTTATTTAATAGTTTTTCTCTTTTCTTCTTCATTAAGATAATTAATAATCACACTACCCGAATATCACGTTTTAGGATTTCCTCCTAAGCCTTCCCCTTTCCCACCTTTTGGACCTTCTACTGAATTTTGAAGTCTTCATTCCTTGGATTAAACATATATCCAAAGATAAAAAGAATGTAATATCTTATGTCATATGTATGTATATTTTCTCTGATTGTTACTGTTGTTGTTTGTGTTATAATAAATCCTAAGTGAACACAATTCCTTTCTCCTACATTAATTCATTTGCTTGCTCAACAAATATTGACTACTGTAGTGAACGATACAATCAAAATCCCTGACTTGGAATTTACATTCTAGCTGGAAGAGACAAACTGTAACAAATAAACACTATGAACTTATGTCCAGTAGTAACAAATGCCTTGGAGAAAAATCAGAGTAAAAGGGATAAAGAGCATCCTGTTGATTTGTTCAAATATAAAGATGTGTCAGGAAAGGCCTTGGGGACATTTAAGCTGAGATGTGAAAGGAGCAGAGGGAGTCAGGTGGACATGGGGAGAAGAGTGTTGTAGGCAGAAGAGCAGCAAACGTGGAGGTCCTGATGCAATAATATGCTTGGCGTGTTTGAACCACGGAGGGCAGTGTAGCCAGAGTGCAGTGAGCAAGAGAGAGTGGTTGGAGACGAGATCAGAGGGGTGGTGGGGTGCTGGATCACGCAATGCCGTACAAGCCTCAGGAGAAGGACTTTTGCTGACGTCATGCCCCAAGTTTCCCCATACTTGCCAGATTACCACCTAGGTCCTCCTTGCTATTCACAATTCTGTCCAATATAGTAGTTCCTCTCACTGAGTCTTCAGATGTGTGAGAGAGAAAATTAACAGCAGAGTAAGTCAAGACTAGAGACACTGCTTAAGCAGAATTGATCTTTCCAAGAGATGTTCAGATATTGCACATTCACCATCATTGTTGTCCTATTCTGAGAGCCTCCGACAAGTTAATTTAACAGTGGAGGTTATCCTTTCCCCACAATATGGGCTGTTCTTAGTGATGTGTTTCTGACGAATTGGCAAAGTGACATTATGACTTCTGAGTTAGAGAAAGGTAATATGCCTTCAGCATGGAGTTCTCTCTCTCCTGGGACATGTGTCTTTGGTATCCTAAGCCATCATGTAAGAAATCCAGCAACCATGAAGCCACCATGCTGAAGGGATCTTGTAGGCATACCATATAGAGATAGAGGGAGGCGCCCGGGTACCCCAGCTGTTTCCATCTCCAGATGTTTGGATCATCCCAGCTTGGGTACCAGATATGTGAATGCAGAAGCCCTGGAGATGACTCCAATCCAGCTACCATCTGACTGCAACATCATGAGAGAAGATGCCAAGCCAGAACCACCCCATCAAGTACTTCCCAAATACCAAACCCACGTAAACCATGAGAGATAATAAATGACTGTTGTTAAGCCACTAAGAAAATAAAAATATTTTTTAAAAAGTAGAGACTACTGATGGTTGAATTCAAGTGATGTGTCTTTACAGTAGGTACTCAAGAAAAATCTTTTAGACATTTTGTTGGCAGTGCATAAAAGTTACCAGTAGAGGTCATACTTGATTAATATTTTCACATCCTCCTTTCTGTAAGTATATAGATTAATAAATTATTATTTAATGCATTAATAAAATAAGTTCAATAAAACTTTATCTTGGATTGTTAGGAGTGGTCTGTTTACTACCTTGTATCAATTACCAAGTACCCTGTAAAAAATAAGTGTTGCCTTAATTGAATGTTTATCATTAAAACCGTACAGAGCCAGGTACTGTGGTGTACACATAGTCCCAGCTACTCAGGAGGCTGAAGGCAGAGGATCGCTTGATCTCAGGAATTGGAGTCAAGCCTGGGCAACATAGCAAAGCTCATCTTTAAATAAATAAATGAGTGAATGAATTAGCAAATGAAAAGAAAATCTTTCAGTTAAAAAAAACGACAAAACTATACTGAGCATTATCTAACACGTGATACAAAATATACTCCAGAATCTTGCATCAGCATGTACATTATGAAAATGCACTGTCCAAGTTGATGAAAACTCATATTTGCCATGTCTGGTGGTTTCGATTCTAGATAAATGAGAATTTACATTAAATAACTGTAAAAAATTGATGGACGCTCTTCTTATCAAAAGATTGTTTTCTCTTTCAAGGAAATGGGTCCCGATGAATATGAAGAGATGGAAGAAGAAGAGGAGGAGGAGGAGGAAGAAGATGATGAGGATGATTCGGCAGATATGGATGAATCAGATGAAGATGATGAGGAAGAGAGACGGAGGAGAGTCTTTGATGTTCCCATTCACAGACGCCGCTGCTCGCGCCTTTTTTAGCAAGGCTTCTGCTAATGGAAGCACGGGGCTGATTCTAGTCTGTTAAATAGATTTCTCAATAATGTAAATAACTAAATTGTTCTCAGCACATAGCAGGAAAACTAGCATGAAATATTGTTCCAGGCCCTGGGTTCTATGTGACATTACATTTGAAATTGGATTGTTTTGGTTTGCTTTGTGTTTTTGAAGTAGAAGAGGAAATGGGAATCTTTTTTTTTCTCTTCCAGGAGTCAGTAGAGGAATAGTTCTCTAGCTAAGGAATATGCATTTCTTTGTTTTAAAATATTTTATACTTATAAAAATATAGAAATGGAGAGGGAATTGTTTTGAGTAAGGATTTAAAACGTAGCAGAAATACCTACACAAGGATAGAGAGAAACTATGTGACTGAATGATTCTGTGAAAAGACTTCTTGCAGTTGTAAGTTATTTAGAAATGAACAAAATTTGTAATTAGGCTAATCCATTTAGTGATTCCTAATATTTTGTACTCACGGGGAGCTAATTGACTAACTTGACTGCTAGTGGCTTGTCCTTTCTTAGACAATCTATCCTTGAATTTAAAGTGTGTATCACTAAGACCTTGAATTTAAGTTTTTCGTCACTACAACCTTGAATTTAATTTAAAGTTTTCAACACAATGAACTTTAATTTAAATCTTCAGCTCTATGGCCTTTATCATATTATTCACAGATGCATCATTTTTGAAATGTAGTGTGTAAAAGTATGTAGTGTGTTGTTTAACAAGATTCTTCACTATGTCTCATGTAGTCTAAATTTGTAAATACTGCTTCTGTTTTGTTTCTCCTTTATACACTTGACTGTCTAACTTTGTGACAAGTGACATGACTTTTATGTTAGGATTAAGTATGTTTTCCTGAAACATGGGGTTTTTTTGTAATTATATAATTGAGAGTTAAGAATGAAATCCTTCAAGTGTTAAAAACTCACATTTTAAAAGCAAATTTTGGTTCTGATCCTGTATTTCGTGTAAATGCCTATTTTTCATAAACTAATATTAATCACCCTTAACTCTTAAGATGGAAGATAGGATTTACTGTTCAATAACAGTTGAACTCTGGCCTACTGTCAGAGTACAGCAGTGTCATTCAAAGTCATCTCCTGGCTTTGATTGTACCCTCCTGTGTGCTCCACCTTCCATTTTCCCCAAGGACAGTTCTTTTGTAGAGAAAACTGTAGGAAGAGGGGGCCATATTCAGTGTTAAGCAGCTGCCAGGATCCAGGGACCACAAAGGCAAACTTACCCTTCCATATTGACGTGTTAAAATGTTCTGAAATAGACTAAGTCAGTTTTCCTCCTTCCTTTTCATGTACTAAGAATATTATCAGGCTACCAAATCCTTCTATTATGGCTATTCTTTTTTTTTAATCAACCGTCTTTGTTTAGGTTGCTATAACAAAGTACCTTTGAGTAATTTTATAAACAATAGAAATTTATTGTTCACAGTTCTGGAGGCCGGGAAGTCCAGGATCAAGGTGCCATCAGATTAGGAGTCTGGTGAGGGCTTGCTCTGGCCTTCAAAGACAGGGCGTGCCTTCACGCTGTATCTTTACGTAGTGGGAGTGGCAAACAAGCTCCCTCAGGCCTCTTTTATAAGGGCACTAAGAGCCATCATGACATAATCACCTCCTAAAATGCCCACCTCTTAATACTATTGTTTTGGGGATTAGGTTTCAATATGTGAATTTTGGGGGAACACAAACATTCAGACCATAGCATCAATCCACTTATTTTTTAAAAAACCAAACTTTCCCAATAAAGTAGTAATTAAAGTGGCCGCAGGATCCTTTCCACTCTGCATCTTTCTCTTTTCCGGATGACCTCTGCTATCTCTCAGTTTCCAGAGTACTCATGATGCCCAGAATCTCCCCTGCAACCCTGTTCAACCCTTGCTCCTCAGAATGCAGCGATTTGCTTATCCTGTCATCAAAATTCACATTATTTTATTAGTTCATTCATTAGTTGAACGAACTCTAGTTTATACCAAGATGGGGTTTTTTGGTAACCTGTGTTTATTTTCATTAGCAAGAACGCTTATCCACCCATAATAGGAATTTTACAGTTGGCATTAACATTGCCCAAACCAGACTATGCTTTTGGTGGAACAAACACCATTTCTGGTTCTGAGGCCGCTTGAACACACCACCTATTTTTTATTCATTTGTCTAAGGCTTGATGTATCAGTAGGATGAGACAGATGCCTAAATCATTAGTAGCTTAAATAGTTTAGGGGCTATTGTTTAGTGAAAAGTCAGAGGTAACTAATTCAGGGCTGACATGATGGGACAGCGATGTTGTAGACATTACAGATTTGTTCCATCTTTTCTGTTCTGCCATCCTTAGCACAAGACTTTTCCTCTCAAAGGTCCTCTCATGGTTGCAAGATGGCAGCCACGGTCATAATTGTATTCAAGAAAGGATGATGAGAAAAGAGCAAAATGAAATGGAAAATAAAAAGTGAGATGTGAGGCTGGAGAGGTAAACTAGCCGGGTCCTTAGCAGTCATGTGAAGGATAAGTAGGGAAAGGGCAGCATAGGGACCTAGTATGAAGGAATTGTAATGGTCCAAATAAGATACATGATTGGCCCAAATTAGGGCAGTGGCAATGTGAAGAGGGGATGATCTAAATAAGTGGAGAAGTAGGCAGGAGTTGCTAAGTAGATGTGAGGGAGTGGAAAGAATCAAAGTTGATTCCCAGATTTCTATCTTTTTTTTTTTTTTTTTTTGAGACAGAGTCTCACTGTGTTGCCCGGGCTAGAGTGCCATGGCGTCAGCCTAGCTCATAGCAACCTCAAACTCCTGGGCTCAAGCGATCCTCCTGCCTCAGCTGCCCGAGTAGCTGGGACTACAGGCATGCGCCACCATGCCCGGCTAATTTTTTCTATGTATTTTTAGTTGTCCAAATTATTTCTTTCTATTTTTAGTAGAGACGGGGTCTCGCTCTTACTCAGGCTGGTTTCGAACTCCTGAGCTCAAACAATCCGCCTGCCTCGGCCTCCCAGAGAGCTAGGATTACAGGCGTGAGCCACCGTGCCCGGCCTGATTCCCAGGTTTCTGTGTTCATTTATTAAAAAAATAAAATCATTGCAGGAAAAGCAGTTGATTATTGTGACACAGGAAAGTGACTCCCCACTGCTGGGAGCCTTTTGAGGTCCAAGTGGATCCTTGGCTTCGTGCAAGAAAGAATTCAGGAGCGAGCAGACAGCATAAAGTGAAAGCAAGATTTATTCAGAAACTATAGAAAATCTACTCCACAGGCAGAGCAGAGGCAAGTTCTCCCTGCAGAAGAGAACTGGCCCCTGGTTCCTGTTGCCCTTCTATTGAAGCAATAGATTAATTATAGGTTAAGCAAAGGGAGGAATATTCATGTGAGGGGGCCGTTTTCCTGGAATAGGGCGACACCCTCTATTTCTCCACCATCTTGGTTCTAACCAGTTGGAACTTCCCCTGCCTCAATCCTGTTTTCATCAGGATAATTTGAAACTTTGAGTCTTCTTGATTCAGTTAGGTAATGCTGCAGCAATGCCCAAAGCAATGCCCAAAGCAGTGCCCAAAGCAATAGGTGCCAGTTCTCTGTCTCAATTGGAGATGAGTTCAGATTTGTAGACATTGAGTACAAGATGTCTGTGGAACATACGAGTGGAGATGTCCAGCAGTCAGTTGGATATGAAAATGAAGATAGAGGAAGTGGTCAGAGCTGGAGACCAAGATTTGCAATTCATCTGCAAACACGTACATCCCCAAGGTAAAACAAAGTAGATGCACTAGTCTCCCAAGGAGCACATAGCAATGGTTCTCAGTCTAACTCTGGAACACCAAACTATTAGTGGGTGGAAGAAGGGACCGTCAAGAATGAATGGTCAAGAAACTGGGAGCAAAACCAGGAGAGAGTGGCATCTCAGAATCTGACAGCTTTAAGGAAGGAATAGCTAATAGGATGCATGTAAGGTAGTGTTAAGGGTGGGAACTCATAGCTCTGACTGAGAAAGAGTTCATGACACAAAGATTAGGATAGAAGGAAGTAAACAGTTTATTTTACTTTCCCCTAGAGAGAGAGAGAGGAAAGGGCTCAGCATAGGAAAGAAAGAAAGAAGTAGTGCCGGCCAGGAGGATAAGGGGTTCGGGGTTTTTATGGGGATAAAGAGAAAGAAAAAAAGTGACTGCTGTCAGCTGATAGCAGAAGAGGGCTGTGAAGCAGCTGTGTCTGTTTTTCCTTTTTTTTCTCTTTTCTGTGAGGCTGTTTTTTCAGGGTCATTGGAATGTGATCTGGTGGAAACTGGGGGAAGCGTCACACTCCTATCTGCTCAATTCTGTTCAAGTGCTGTGAAAACAAACTCTTAGAGACCACAGGTGGTTAATTAAACAAGGGGCTGTTGTACTGTGATCTTTCCCTTCAAAGGAGCAATTGTGTGCTGTGAATTTTCTCCTTTTTTTTTCCTGTTAGTTTATTTTTCTCTGTTAGTTTATTAGCAAGGCCATCCTTTCATGTAGTGCATGTGAAAGAGCTTTGTAAACCATCATAGGAAATATACGGTATTAACTGTTTTAAGCAGCTCACTGTAAATATCAAAGCAAGTCCTGATTTAAGAAACTTTCATTTGAGTAGAGGAAAACCAGGATTTGGGCACCACCAAAGTGAAACTCATTCCTTGACAGCATAAACTCCTGGAACTAGTGTCTGCTTGCTTTAAACCCACCAATTAAATCTCCCGGAGGGAATCTTGTCTGGTTAACGCCCTGGGTGAAGGCGTTGGCCCTCAAGTCCCTGTCTCACTCCTTGCCTGAGCTCTCTGACGTTGGTGTGGGGGTGGGGGCCTCCAGGTGTGTGTGCTGCATACCTCCCAGCGTCTGTGTCAGGGTTGCTTTTTGAGAGGTGCTGTCGTGGTTCTTTGGCTCCTTGCTTGGAAGAATCGCAAACAAGGCCAGTGCATGGAAGTGAACACAGACAGGAAGCAATTTCACACAAGCAGCCTTTACTGAGCACAGCTAAGGGTACAAAGAGAAGGTGCGTCCTGGAGGAGGGATGGGTGTGTCTCTGCCAGTGAAGAAGACCCTGGAGTCTCAACACACTTCTACTTTTATATCTATACCTTATGATGTGCTAAATGGTGGGCTGAATATTCATTATTTTTTCTGGGAAAAGGGTGGAGAGTTCTTGGAGCTAAGGGCCTTCCCCAATTTTATCCTTATAGGGTAACTTCCAGGGGTTGCCGTGACATTTGTAAACTGTCATGGTGCTGGTGGGTGTGATTTTCACTATGCTAATATATGTTAATTGAGGAAAGATTGCTTTTGATCATGAGCTCCTAGTTTCTGCACATGCTCCTGGCGGGGAAACTCCCTAACCTCAAGTTCCTGTTGTCGCAGGTTTGGTTCTAGATGCCCATTGGCCTGCTCACATTTGCCTCCTCCCCTTTTCCTGGTTAGCGCTGTTGGCCCGCACCTGTCCCTAACAGTCTTTAAGTACTAAAAACTCTTTTTTTTTTTTCTGAGACAGAGTCTTGCTTTGTTGCCCGGGCTAGAGTGAGTGCCGTGGCGTTAGCCTACCTCACAGCAACTTCAAACTCCTGGGCTCAAGCAATCCTTCTGCCTCAGCCTCCCGAGTAGCTGGGACTACAGGCATGTGCCACCATGCCCAGCTAATTTTTTCTCTATATATATATTTTTAGTTGTCCAGATCATTTCTTTCTATTTTTTAGTAGAGACGGGGGTCTTGCTCTTGCTCAGGCTGGTCTCGAACTCCTGACCTTGAGCCATCCACCCGCCTCGGCCTCCCAGAGTGCTAGGATTACAGGCGTGAGCCACCGCACCCGGCCGACTAAAAGCTCTTTAAACTGTTCACATTGTGGTTTTGTCAGTGAAACCATGCCCGCAATCCAATCCCTGACTGCGTGGCACTGCAAAGTGACCCACGCAGTAAATCCCCCGCTGGTGCTCTTCTGTCCCAGCCTCTTGGGCGCCCCAGGGGCCAGTCCTCTCCCTAAGTTGATGGAGAAACTCGAAGAGTTTCATTGCCCAGTAAGCTTTTTTTTTTAATTTTATTTTTGACAATATCATTCTTTTTTTTTATTTTAGCATATTACGGGGTTACAAATGTTTAGGTTACGTATATTGCCTTTGCCCCACCCCAGTCAGAGCTTCAAGCGTGTCCATCCCCCAGACGGTGCACACCATGCCCATTAGGTGTGAATATACCCATCCCCCCTCCCCCTTCCATCTGCCCGACACCCGATGAATGTTATTCCTATATGTGCACTTAAGTGTTGATCAGTTAAAAGCAATTTGATGGTTCTTGGGATAAGCTTTTAAACGCATGTTTTGTCTTGGTTCCAAACAAGTCACAAGGCACGAATGCAGCTGTGGCTGAGGGACATTTGGGAGATGCCAGAGCCTGAGAGCAAGAAGGAGCCTCAGGCCGCAGCAGGGCCGCATAACCTGCCAGCCAGGCCAAGTGGGCGCTCAGGCCACAAGCAAAGCATGAGCACAAAAAAAGTTTTGAAAAAACATTTAAACATAATTTTTAAAAAATAGAAGGGAAAATCTGAAGTCTTTAGAAGCCTGCTATTGTTTTTATTTTCCGTAACAATCAAAGGAGGACGCCATAAACTCTCATTTCCCCAGCGTTTTAAAGGTGTTCATCCAGTCCTGGCCACCGGCTTTCTCAGACGCTGAGCCGGGCCAGTGACGCATCTCGAGTGAGGTGGTGGTGCCAGGCGGGGCCCCCGCGGTGTCTCCCGCCTACATCGGCGTCCGCAGGAGACCTTGGCCCCGCAGTTGGCTGCCCGCAGGGGGCGGGAAGAGGCGGAGCCGCCCGGACAGCTGCTGGGAACCACCGGGCGCCGAGCGCAGGCCGAGGCGGTGCTAGGCTGGGAGCGCGGCGGCCGGGCGCTGTCAGGTAAGGCCGAGGGCGGGGGGCAGCCGAGTCGGGAGGGCCCGGCCCCGGCGGGGTCTGCGGGTCTCCGCGCGCTCGCGCCCGGCTGGCTGCGCCGGCTCAGAGGCGCCGCCGCCTCCCACGCGACCCCAGACGCGCTGCCGTAACGCGCGCCGACCCCGCGGGCAGACGCCGGCTTCCTTCGTTTATTCCCACGGAGGAGAAGCGGGCAGCGGTCCTCGGCCCACACACCCTGCACGGGCCCTGCCCTCCGTTCCCTCGGACATGGTTTCTCGCGCGCTGACCACCTGCTCTTAGGGAGGAGAAACGCGCCAGAAGAGAAGAGCGGCCGCTATATGGTCACGGCCATTCTTCTCTTAGAGTTCTCCGTTTGGAATTTTAAAAAGCAGACGTCGGGGCTGAAAGAGACATTATAAATACCACGTGATTGTCGGCCCGGCTTAGTGACTGAGGCAGAAACCTCCGGTAGCCGACGTTTATTAAATCAAGATTTGGAGGACCCACCCGGGAAGAACGCCAAGGGCAGACAAGCTGCGGCTGTTTTCTGCCGAAGGGGAAGTTGGAATCTTCTGCCTTTAAAGGCAGAAAGAGAGAGGGGGAAAGGCTGGGGGAGCTGCTGATAAGCAAAGTGGTTACATTCTGTGAGGCCCAGGAAAGCCATACACACTAAAATAAGGGGAATGTGAGAAGGGAAAGGGGAGTGAAGCATCAATTATGTAGGTGTCCCTGGGTAGGTGGAAGAATGCCCGATTCTGTCTTGTCTCCAGTTCTGTTACCGGTAAGATAAACTTATAATTCATTTTTAGTGTGGAATTGGATTGGCTTTAGTTTTAGGTGCTAGACACAGGTACAATTCGCATGTCTTTGCTTATGGGAGGTGAGCAGGAAACTTCCTTAATGAGTGATCTGTGGGACCAGCTCTTCACTGGTGCCTGACGCTCTTACCTTCTCTTTTGCCAAAGGAGTTGGGGGCGGGGGCTGGTGGTCCTGAGACTTTGATTTTCTTTTTACATGATGTTTATATTTTGGCTTGGGTCCCCCCCTTCTAGAATCTGTGGCTATTTACAGTAGGTGGGCAATGTATAAAGGGGAGGCAAAGAGGAAATCGCCTCATTACAAGCCAAACATTCCTAAAACTTACGGCTTTTGTGTTTTCAGGGTGGAAACTGGAAACTGTTTGCTAAACCTTGCTTTAAGGAAAACATCCCATTGTGTAGAGTGGCTTGGAAGATAAAACCCAAATAAAATGAATTTTAGGGTGGGGAGAGTAGGTTTTGAAAGGGTGAATGACCCAAAGGACAGATTTCACACACAGGCTACGTGGGAGCAACATGGATGATTTATTCACCCCGGGTGCGAGTGGGCTGAGTTCGAAAAGAGAGCACTGAAGGGGGTTTGGTGAGGGTTTTTATAAACGGTGATAGCCGACCCCCTCCCACCTGCCCTGTTCAGTTCTTTTTTGCTGGGCCAAATTGGCAGGTGAAGAATTGCTTCCTGCTCAGTACAGTTCGCATATGGCAGAGGACGGTGGGCAGAACAGCTGTTTGTAGTAAATTCTTCTTCAAACAACCAACTCCTACGACCCCTTTGCCCCAGTCACATCCATCCTTCTGCTCTGGCATCCTCCTTATCAGGAGAGGTAGGGAGAGATAGCCTTTGCCTCTATCAGGGAGGGAGGGGGGAGGAATGCGGGCTGCAGCTGTCTGTTAGATCTACTAGGGAGAGATAAACTGCATCTCCGTCAGGGAGGGAGGAGGAGGGAATGCTGGCTGCAGCTGTCTGTTAGATCTACTAAGGTCTGTGAGATCTACAAAGTCCAGCGACTCCCCAGACTCCTGTGGCTATTGTTTTACAAGCCTAAGTTTTGCATTAACCACATTCTGTCCTGTACATACTTCTCGGGTTCCCACCTGGAACAAACCTAACAGGTTTCTAATGGAATTCTTCTTTCACGGTGTCAAGCATAAGTTCTTGAAAAGGAGTGCATTGAAAATTCTGGGCCATCCCTTTAAGAACGTCAGCCAAACTGCCACAGACAACCAAGACCACAAGTGCTTGAAGTTGTCTAAAGACAAAGCTATGTTTTCATCTATGCCCCACATCTCTGTGAAATATCTTCATTAAATCTTGGCTATGCCAGTGCAATGGCTCATGGCTGTAATCCTAGCACTTTGAGAAGCCAAGGTGGGAGGTTTCCTTGAGGCTGGGAGTTTGAGAACAGCCTGGGCAACATAGACCCCTGGCTCTACAAAAAATCAAATAAGTTAGCTGAGTGTGGTGGTGCACGCCTGTAGTCCCAGCTACTTGGGAGGCTGAGGCGGGAGGATTGCTTGAGCCCAGGACTTTGAGCTTATGGGGGGTTATAATCAGGCCACTGCACTCCAGCCTTCTAGGCTGGGCAACAGAGTGAGAGCTGGTCTTTTAAAAAAACAAACAAACAAAAAAACTTGGCTACGCATGTATAATCTCAAAGGGCAGGGTCATGAGTACCAAGATGAGAGGCTCTCTTTGGAAACCTAGGAATGTGGGCTTCTGGACCAAATTGCAGAGAAGGCCCTTGTAGGGGAAGCTGCAGATTTGTGTGCTTTGAAGAGTAAAGAGTGGTTTTCCCGGGCACTAGCGTTAGGGTGGAAAGCCAGTAGGTGCTCACAGCACAGGTGGAGAAGAGATTTCTCACGTAGGAATTGAGATATAAAAGTAAAAAAGTTTATTTTATCCTTCTTAGAGGAGAAAGAGAGAGAGGAAAGAGACGGTGAGAAAGAGGGAGAAAGAGAAGTGGGGGGAAGAGAGCAGGGAGATGGCGAGGCATCCCAAAGAAAGAAAAGGGGGTGCCAGCAGTGAGGCCAAGTGGCTCACTGATTTTATGGGGGACAAAGAGAAAAAAATAGTGATGGCTGTCAGTTGATAAAATCGGCAGCAGGTAGATAACAAAAACGGCAAGATGTCAAAGTCCAAGACTTGGTTTCTTGCCTTTCCTTGGAAAAGGGATTATCACAGATGTGACTCTGTCCTTGAGATATGGTTGAGGCTGTAGCTCATTCTCCCTGCTGTTCACTTAGGAACTCTGTAAAAGCAGATTCTCAGAAACAATTTTTTTTTTTTTTCCGAGACAGAATCTCACTCTGTTGCCCGGGCTTGAGTGCCGTGGAGTCAGCCTAGCTCACAGCAACCTCAAACTCCTGGGCTCAAGCGATCCTCCTGCCTCAGCCTCCCGGGTAGCTGGGACTACACGGGAGGATTGCTTGAGCCCAGGACTTTGAGCTTTGTCCAGATCATTTCTTTCTATTTTTAGTAGAAACGGGGTCTTGCTCTTGCTCAGGCTGATGTTGAACTCCTGAGCTCAAGCAATCCTCCCACCTCGGCCTCCCAGAGTGCTAGGAGTACAGGCGTGAGCCACCGCGCCCAGCCATCAGAAATAAGTTTGAAAGAGGGAGATTTACGTCTCTTTTCTGTCCATTCAGCTGTCTTTGAAAGTTGTGTGGAACAGAACTCCTGCAGGGTACCTGTTGGTGAGAGAACTCATAGGATTGCTCTTAACTGTTACTGGGGAAATTGTGGGAGCAGGCATTTACCTGTTATTTCAGCAAGGCTGTCCTTACACTAGGGGCTTGGCTGAGAGGGGCTCTTCCATTATGACTGCAGTTTTCTCTTTGTCTCTACCTGCTTATGTAATTGGTCCTTTAACTGAGTCACTGATCCTAGCCTGGGAAACTCAGCATGCGTGGCTACAGCAGGCACTGTGTATATCTCGAAGGTGACATATATACCTAGAGCAAAAGCTCCAAGGCCCCAACACTGCCAACACCAGATATCTTGTGAGTCACCAGCCCCTGATGAATAGAGATTCATCCATCCAGTGTGGCTTTGTGACTAACCTATTGTCTTGGGACAGGTAATTTCCTCCCCCTGGGCCTCTACTAATTCCTATAAAATAAAGACATTGGGTTTTATTTTGAGGACACTTCTAGCCTTAAAATTCTTGAGCCTCTGAGGCCCCAGCATCCCAGGAGCAGTAATTCTACTCATGGGCATCTGTGAGTGTCATGGAAGCACTGCAAATGTCTAATCTCTTCTTCAGTGACGTCAGCTTAACTAACATGTTTCAGGAGCTGAATTCACAAGAAGTCTCCTCACCAGAGTTTAAGATGGTTCTGAGCTCAAACCCAGGTTTAACTGCTATTCCACCACTTTCCAGTTCAGAGGTTGCCGAATCAGTTTTATACCGCTGCTGGACAAACCACCACGAATGTAGCCACTTCAAACAACACAGATTTATTAATCTTACCTTTCCATATGCTAAATATCTGACACGGGTCTCGCCAGATTAAAGTCAAGGTGGCAGGGCTGTGTTCCTTTCTGGAGGCGTTAGAGGCGAATTTGTTTCCTTGCTTATTCAGGTTATTGGCAGAATACAGTTCTCGTGACTGGGGCACTGAGAAGAGGACTGTTCTTAGCTTCTAGGGGCCACCTGTGCGCCTTGGCTGAGGGAGCCCTTCCTGTCTTCAAAGTCAGCAACCGTGAGTTGAGTCCCCCTCACTCTACAAATCTCTTGCGTCTTTTTCTGTAGTCACATCTCTCAGACAGACTCTGCTGCCTCCTCTTCCTCTTCTAATGATCCGGTGATTACACTGGGCCCACTGGATAACGCAGAATAAGCTCTGTAACCTTAATCCTCATCTGCAGAGTCACTTGCTCGGTAAGCCGCCTGTATTCACGGGTTACTGGAAGTGGGATCTGGACGTCTTTGAGGGAGAGGGCATTGTTCTGCCTACCACATAAAGTGGTTTCATAAAGTAGTTTTCCTCCTCACCCCTCAGTTTCCTCCTCTTACAGTTGGAGGCAGAGATTAAATTTCCCTACAGCATTGTTGTGAGGAGTGACTCCAGTTACTGCTATGTCAAGAGCACCTAGCATAGCAACTGGCCCTTGATCTTTGCTCACCAAATGGCAGTTAACCGGGAAACAAGGACCTGTCTAATGGCTTGCATTCAGTGGCATAATCA